GATAGATAGATAGATAGATAGATAGATAGATAGATAGATAGATAGATAGATGGATGGATGGATAGATAGATAGGCTTTCTTTTCCCTAAAAAGAGGATTAATGGGATGGAATGTTTTGATTTTTTTTTTTTGGTAGGTAAGAACTTTTTTTTGTATTCTAGGTCACTTTTTAATGGAAATTGGGGCATGTGGACATTGTATTCTGAGGCCTTTCAATAAGTTATTAATAAGCATAGCAGATCCTTGAAATCTTACCCAAACAAATTAAAGAAAAAAATACTTTGATTAATATTAATTAACTTAGACTATTATTTCTATATGCATACCAAATCAGAGAATCAGAGATGTAGTGCTACAAGGGGCATCGAATTTCAGAGGCCACATAGTCCAACAGATGAGATAAGGAAGCTAAAGCCCAGGAAAGTTTAGTGGTTTTTCAAAGGTCACACAGCATAGAAATACCAGTGCAGGATTTGAACCTAGGTCTTCTCAATACAAGTCTAGTGTTCTTAACACTGTACCATGCTGTATGTTTCATCTCAACTTAAACATAGATAATAATCATGTCTCTATTATCCTCCTTTCAGCCAATGGGGATTTTCTCCATCCTAGAAGAAGAGTGTATGTTCCCCAAGGCAACAGACACTTCTTTCAAGAACAAGCTGTATGAGCAGCACCTTGGCAAATCCCACAACTTCCAGAAGCCCAAGCCTGCCAAAGGGAAGCCTGAGGCCCACTTCTCTCTGATCCACTATGCTGGAACTGTGGACTACAACATTACTGGTTGGCTAGACAAGAACAAGGACCCCCTGAATGAGACCGTGGTTGGGCTGTACCAGAAATCCTCAATGAAAACTCTAGCTTACCTCTTCACTGGGGCAACTGCTGCTGAAGCAGGTAATTTTCTGTGTAGTTAATATTTTGTTAAATTTATACGGGCTGAGCTACAATTGCCCAGGAGGAAGTAGACTTTAATTACCTGTGTTTTCTTTTCCCTCAGAGGCTGGTGGAGGAAAGAAAGGTGGCAAGAAGAAGGGTTCATCTTTCCAGACTGTGTCAGCTCTTTTCAGGGTACAATCTTTATTTACTCTCTATAATGTTTCAAAAAAAACTAAAATTTACCATATAGTTGGTGGGAAAATAAATTCCTTGAAAAGGGTATTTAGAAGAGTAGAATAGATAAATAGATAGATAGATAGATAGTGTTGTATGTGTGAGTGTATGTATTAAGTATCTACACAGTGCCTGGCAAATGATAGGAAGCTAAAAAATGATGGGATGCAGTGGAAGCTAGAAGACAGCTCAACAGATAAAGATAAAAATAGTAGGATTAAGATCTTGATAAAGTATTGATACTTAATAAAGAGTAGGATCCCATGGATATGTGGGGAGAGGAGGGCTCTGTAGAGAAGAGAATAGATTATGAAAGTCACAGTAAAATGGAGAGAATTTTTCAGCGGTGGGAAATAAAAGATGGGAGATAGCTGAAAACTGGGAATCAGTAAATGAACAAAGGTGATTATATTCTTTATAATTCAATAGGCATTTATTAAGCATCTAATATACATGCCTGTGCCACTGGGATGAAAAACTTTTTAAATCGCATGGTCCATACCCATAAGGAGTTTACATTTCACTAGAAAGTTGACATGGCGCTGAAATTAGGTGGTTGCAGAAATATTAAATGGTATACTAATATCTTACCTTAAGAGTTGCAATGGACTTTAAATATCACCATTTCCTCATTTTTCAAATGAGAGAACTGAGACCCAGAAAGATGCTTAGAAAAATTGAAATTATTAGAAAAATATGGTTGTATAATTCTTAGCAAATGTGGGGATAGAGAAGGAATGTAGAGAATACAGAAATTAGAGATGGAAGGTATCTTAGAGACCACTAGTCTAACTCCTCCATTTATAGATGAGGAAACTTAGGCCCAGAAATATAAAATGACTTGCCAAATGGGTCATACAGCTAGTAAATGACAGAACCAGTAATGGATTGAGTCACTTCGGATATAGTTTTTGGACATTTTTTTTCATATTAGTCCGTGTCAAAGATTATGATAATTATCTCTAATAATTGCATTTGAATGAAATGATGTATTAATTCAATTATTATGGCCTCCTAGGAGAATTTAAACAAGCTGATGACCAACCTGAGGAGCACTCACCCTCATTTTGTACGGTGCATCATTCCCAATGAAACCAAAACTCCTGGTAAGGAACTCAAGAATTAAAATTCACAGCTTGACTTTTAGCTTTTCGTTTTGAGGTATGGTAACCACATGAGTTTTGATTGTTTCAGGTGCTATGGAACATGAACTTGTCCTGCACCAGCTGAGGTGTAACGGTGTGCTAGAAGGCATCAGAATCTGCCGGAAAGGATTCCCAAGCAGAATCCTGTATGCTGACTTCAAACAGAGGTCAGCCTCTTTCCATTCTGAATTACCCCAAAGTAGTTGATATTTACCAGTACAAATTTTCCTGGTTAAAGAAAAATCTCTTAAAATGAGCAGTGAAAACATTGGGTTTGGCTTTAAAGGAGCTAGATTGAAACATGACTACCTTTGTGACCCTTTGTTGTATAATTTTTCAGGTATACCTGACACTTTGTGACTCCCTTGGGGTTCTATTGCTAAAGATATTGCAGTGGTTTGCCATTTCCCTCTCTAGCTCACATTATAGATGAGGAAACTGAGGCAAACATGGTTAAGTGACTTGCCCGGGGTCACACAGCTAGTGTCTGAGGCTGGATTTGAACTCATGGACAGGAGCCTTCCTGACTCCAGGCCTGCCACTCTATCCATTGCACCATCTAGCTGACTCTTCTGGTGTCTTCAAATAAGTCATTTCCTCTCTGGGCTTCATTTTCCCTTCTAGTTCTAGATTTAGAACTAGAAAAAAGGACATAGCTTTTTGATTTTATGGCAAAAGAGAGAAATCAATGTAATATGATATAAGCAACAAATTTTAACTCAGTAAATCTAGAGAATAAAGCTACCTTTTATATGTAACAAAAAATCATAAGTAGGAGAATACCATTATTGTATGATCATGCTGCCAAAAAAAAACCATACTGCCTAATGTCTGTTTCATTTTTACAGTGGGATGGGAAGAGAAGATCTAATCACTTATTGACAACAGTTTCTTATACATATATATATATATATATATATATATATATTTTTTTTTACTTCAACAGATACAAAGTTTTAAATGCAAGCGCTATTCCCGAAGGACAATTCATTGATAGCAAGAAAGCTTCTGAGAAGCTTCTTGGTTCTATAGATGTTGACCACACCCAGTATAAATTTGGCCACACCAAGGTACTAACTCTGTTAAATCTACCTGAACCAGATCCAGTCAGCTTCTGCTTTTTGTAGAATAAAACCAATGATCTGTAATGACTCCCTCATGCAGGTCTTCTTCAAAGCTGGTCTTCTGGGTCTCCTAGAGGAGATGAGAGATGACAAGTTGGCACAACTTATTACTCGAACTCAAGCCAGATGTCGGGGTTTCTTAGCAAGAGTGGAGTACCAAAGGATGGTGGAAAGAAGGTAAATGAATTTATTTGTTTAGCTCAAATGGCACAAGAATAATTAAATTGGTCTGCCATTCTATTTGTACCTTGGACCTATCATACATTTTATTTTTAATATATTTTATTGATTTTTTTACATCACCTAATTTTTTTCCCTATCTCCCTTCCCTGTACCCTCTCAGAGAGCTATTCCAGCTAACAAAAACTGTATGCATTTTCATCATATCACAGAGAATCCATCTTCTGCATCCAGTACAATGTCCGTTCCTTCATGAATGTCAAGCACTGGCCCTGGATGAAGCTGTATTTCAAAATCAAGCCCCTGCTCAAAAGTGCAGAGACAGAGAAAGAGATGGCCAACATGAAGGAAGAGTTTGAGAAAACTAAAGAAAGCCTTGCAAAGGCTGAAGCAAAAAGGAAAGAGCTGGAAGAAAAAATGGTAGCTTTGACACAAGAGAAAAATGATTTGCAGCTCCAAGTTCAATCTGTGAGTGTCATACATCACTTTACTGAATCCTAGTCTAAAAGAGAAAGATTCAGTTTTCAACTTAGGGATCTTTAAAAAATAAATGTAATGCTTCTTTCTTCATTGCTGCTTCTTAAATATTTTATTGTCAAGTCTCCTGCAGTCGTAGACCAGTGATTCTTCTCATACGCAGCATCATTTCTTTCCTTAAAGAAAAAGTGGAGTAGTATTTGTGTTCAGAAGGGTCTGGTTTAACCATGATTCTCAGAGACAGCATGATATACTGGAAAGGGTATTGGAGTTTGGTTCCACCACTTAACTACCACTCACCACTCTACCACTGACTTTGGTCTCTTTGAGCCTCTGGGTCAGTTAGATGGCACTGTAGATAGAACGTTAGATCTGGAATCAGGAAAACCTGAGTTCAAATTCAACTTCAGACACTTAATAGCTTTGTGACCTTGGGTAAGTCACTTAATCTCTGTCTGTCTCAATTTCTTCTTCTGGAAAAGACAGATAACAATATTACCTACCTCCCAGGGTTATCACAAGGACAAAATGAAATAATATTTGTAAAGTGCTTTGCAAGGTTTAAAGCTTGTATTTATCTGGGATTTTCATTTTTGCAAAGGGCTTTACATATATTATCTCATTTCATTCTCACAATAGCCCTTTAAGATAGATGTTATTATTACTCTTATTTTTTCCAAGTTAAGAAATCATTTCAGAGAGATTAGGTGGTTTGTTGATATCACATAGCTGGTAAATTCCTAAAGCAGAATTTGATCCTCAATCAGCCTAATTCCAAAACCATGGGACAAATTCTTATGCTACTTAGCCCACGGGGCTGTTGTAAGGAAGACACTTTGTGAACTTAACGATCCATAGAAATGTTGACTTTCATTATTATTGTTTACCTTTACAGAGGTTCTTGCCAGAATCAAATGAGATAATATGTAGAAAAGTGTTCTGTAATCAATAAAACACTAAAAAAACTTAAGCTTTGTTTCATCCAGAGAAAGAGGACAGGCAATGTACTCTGAATAAGTTTACTATTGACAAATCCATGTGACAAAAAATTATTGCTGATAGTGCTGAAGGGGAAAGATCTTGTTAATGAGTGAGATCTCTGGCTAGATAATTGTTTCGAGCTTTGATCTTTGTACTCACATAATAATGTTTGTGATAATTTACAAAGTGTACATTTATATGGTGCTTTGAATTCATCGTCTTATTTGATCTTCATAACTTTCCATTCCTTTCACTTTAGTTATATGTAAGCAGATCGCAGCAGCCTTCTCCCAAATAACATGCGTGCTATTTGTATCAAACCTTTATCTCTCTTCCCAAGCCAGAGCAGCACATAGGCTATTTTCAGTGTGACCCTTGCTGTTTCTAAGCCTTCTTTCTTGGGTACCCATATGCCATTTCCAGAAAAGACCTCTAATAGCAACCTACTCTCTGTTTGAGTTGTATCAATCACTTTGTCTGATACTTCCTTGCCCCTTTGCCCCACCCTAGAGAAAGATGTAGACATCTACACCATCCAAATGTCAAAGAAAGCCATGTACTACTTATTTTCTGAAGATGAATATTAAATAAAGAGAGATATTGCTAATGATTAAATTTAAGAATGCCGAAATAAAGTTCTAGAATTTTTAATAATTACTAATTTAAGTTCCCCATGAATAATTCAGAGATGGATCATGTGTTAGGAAATAATATGAGATTACATATTTCTCTATGTCTCTACTCCCCAGTGCCTAGCAAATGGTAGGGCCTTAATTCAATTAAACAAATATTGGCCCTGTAGTAGGAGCCACAAGTAATCTTTTTTATTTACATGTGTTTGACTGAGTAAAACCAAGTAAACCAATGAATAGAAAATATAAGTTTTTGGTATAATATTAAGCATCAGAAAAACCAAAAATCTAATACTGTTTTCAGGAAGCAGATAGTTTGGCTGATGCTGAGGAGAGATGTGACCAGCTAATCAAAACCAAAATCCAACTTGAGGCTAAAATCAAAGAAGTGACTGAAAGAGCTGAGGATGAGGAAGAGATCAATGCTGAACTGACAGCCAAGAAAAGGAAACTGGAGGATGAATGTTCAGAGCTCAAGAAAGACATTGATGACCTTGAGTTGACACTGGCCAAGGTGGAAAAGGAGAAACATGCTACTGAGAACAAGGTACAAATAACACCCATGAAAACGAAATAATTTATAGTATGCATATGATATGTGCAAATATGATACTAAATGCATGATAATACAAAAGCATTTTCCCTCACAAAGGTGAAAAACCTCACAGAAGAGATGGCAGGGCTGGATGAAAACATTGCTAAGCTCACCAAAGAGAAGAAAGCCCTCCAAGAGGCCCACCAGCAGACCCTGGATGACCTGCAGGCAGAAGAGGACAAAGTGAATACACTGACCAAAGCTAAAATCAAGCTGGAGCAGCAAGTGGATGATGTAAGCCTAAAATTGTAAAGGAAAATAATGTTCTTATTTTAGACAAACAGTTTGGAACCATGTTTACTTGATCAATCAATGTTTATCCCTTGTCTGCTGGTCTTGAGAAGTATTTTATACTTTTAAGAATAAATTCCTGGAGTGTTAGAGAAGTGAGAAAGGCATATTGAGAGATCATATAGTTCTATCTTCTACCCAGAGTTTTTTTTAAAACTTCCTTATTGGATGTCTATCCAGAACTGTATAGGACTTGAGAGTTGATTTAGGTCAATCACTCCCCACCCTACTCCATAGATCAAGAAACTGAAGAATGAAGTAACTTGCTCAGGGTCACAGGGCAAGTCATTTGAAGAGCATGGACCAGAGCTCCAAGTCGGGTACTGCTTCCATTGCATATCCAATAGTGGTAGACATTATGGGAAGCCTATAAAACAAGCATAGAATAAATACTCACCCATAAGGAATTTTTAATATTACAGAGGGAAGAGAGAAAGTATATGATCAAATGTTAACTCCATGAGACAAATAGTAAGTTTAGAACAAACAGAAGTTAGGGAAGCAAGGGTCATTGATTTATTGTAGAGTCATCAGAAGGTCTTCTTATCAATTCTCCCTCTCTATATTATCTCTCTCTTGAATCCCCTTCTCTTTACCACACAGTTGCCACTTTGGCTCAGGACTTCATCATCTCTTGCCTGGATTATTATAACAGTTTCTAATTAATGTCACTGTTTCTAGTGTCTCTCCAACTGATCTGACAAAATAATTTTTCTAAGGGACAGGACTGACCATTGTCATTCCTTTGGTCATTCCTTTTGGTGGTTTCTCAATGCCCATAAGACCAAATACAAACTCCTAACCCTGCCATTAAGGGTCTCTGTCATCTGGCTCCCCAGCTACAGCTTTATTTTATGTGATTTCCCTTCCTATAATCCATAGTTCAAACAAGGTGAACTACTAGATCTTCCCAAACTTAAGACTTCATTTTAAGCTTCTACATATTAAATACATTCCACAATTAGCCATCCCCCAATTTCTGGAATATAATTCTTGCTCATCTTCATCTTTCAGAATGGTTGTCCTTCAAGGTTCAGTTCAGGCACTGGTTCCTCCATGAAACCTTCTTTGATCATCACCCTAATCCCATTTTTAGTGCTTTCTCTCTCCTTGATTTTACCAAGGTTATACCTATTTCTGTATCAAACATAACCCATATCCCATGAATAAGAAGATCCTTTCAGTCAGGAGCACTATTTTGTTGTTTTTTTCTCTCTAGCCTCAGTACCCTAGCTTAGTGCCTTGAACATAATGGATATTTAATTTTAAAAATATTGTGGAATTGAAGAGATATTGAACAGATAAGGTAGAGATAATGCAAAGGAAGAATCAGTAGAACTTGATGACTGACTCAACAGGAGGGCCAAAAAAAAATGCAAGAAAGAGGAAAAGATGACCCCAGAACTTCTGAACTAAGACCCTTATGGAGTAAGCTAGAGAACTTGGGGATTAGAAGAAAGGGGCTATCAGCAGGAATTGTCATGTATTCCTTTAATTATTCACCTTTAGCTTGAAGGGTCTTTGGAACAAGAAAAGAAAATTCGCATGGATCTGGAGAGAGCTAAGAGAAAACTTGAAGGAGATTTAAAATTGGCCCAGGAATCCATCATGGATGTAGAAAATGACAAACAGCAGCTTGATGAAAAGCTCAAAAAGTAAGTGGGTGAGGAACACTGTTTCTTGGGGGGGGGAGAGAATTTTTTTCAACTTTTGCTTTAAGTACAAATACAAAATACGAAACATGTCTTGCTTTTCTAAAAGGAAAGAGTTTGAAATGAGCAACCTGCAAAGCAAGATTGAAGACGAACAAGCATTGGCTATGCAGTTGCAGAAGAAGATCAAGGAGTTGCAGGTAAAATCATCACTTCCACGGGTTCCACGCCCCATGAAAACATCCACTGACAGGAAGGAGCTGATGGCTGTGCTTTCCCTTATTGCTAGGCTCGCATTGAAGAACTGGAGGAGGAAATCGAGGCAGAACGCGCCTCTCGGGCAAAAGCTGAGAAGCAGCGATCTGATCTCTCCAGGGAGCTCGAGGAGATCAGCGAGCGCCTGGAAGAAGCTGGTGGGGCAACTTCAGCCCAGATTGAGATGAACAAGAAGCGAGAGGCTGAATTCCAGAAGATGCGCAGGGACCTTGAAGAGGCCACCCTGCAGCATGAAGCCACAGCGGCCACTCTGCGGAAGAAGCACGCGGATAGCGTAGCTGAGCTTGGGGAACAAATCGACAACCTGCAGAGGGTCAAACAGAAACTGGAGAAGGAGAAGAGTGAAATGAAGATGGAGATCGACGATCTTGCCAGCAATATGGAATCTGTGTCCAAAGCTAAGGCAGGTCCCTGTATTTACTTCAATCAGAATAAGCAATGCAATGTCTCATAATATCTCAAGTTCTATAATTAAAAATCACTCATTTCAGTATAAACAATGCCATCAACCCTGAGAAAAAGTAACATTTTACAGTGAATTTATTATGTTTCTTTTTTCCCTGACAAAAAGAGTTTAGCTATTTTTGAGGACAAAGGAGACACTGGGCAAGTCACTTCAACTCCCTGGGCCCCGGTTTTCTTATCCGTAAAATGAAGAATTTGGTTAAAATGAGTTCCCTCCCAACTGGAAATGTACAATTTCCCGAATAGTAAATTCATCATCTTTCAAAATTCATTTCAAACAAAACTTTTGAAATTCAACTCTACTCATTTAAAAGCTATTATTTATATTTACATAGTAATAATTCCTTGCATTTTATGAAATTTTAAAGTTTTGAAGGTAATTTCTTACAATTATTTCTTTAATCTTCACAAATACTGTTAGAGATGCAAGGACTGTATTATCATCTGTTTTTCAGCTAAGAAAACCAAGACAATGAGAGATGAGTTAGTAAAAGAATCATGGGGGAAGCTGGGTGGCACAGTGAATAGAGCACTGGACCTGGAGTCAGGAGGACCAGAGTTCAAAATCAGCATCAGACACTTCACACAGCATGAGCTGTGTGACCCTGGCCAAGTCACTTAACTCTGATTGCCTCCCAAAGGAAAAAGAGAGAACCATGCCTTGCTCCTTTATTTCCTGCTTGCTAAGTTTAGCTAACTCTCTTTCCACCTACACTGGTTCTCAGTGTTTTGGGAACTCCTACAACAACACTGCTTTGCAGTGAGGAAACTCCCTGAAACAATTTGGCACATTCTCTTCAACTTACAGAGTTGCATAGAGCCCTGATAATTTAAATGTTTTGCCCATTGCCTGAGACAGGACTTGACCCCAGGTTTTCCTGACTTCAAGGTGTGCTATCTGTTTACAACGTACTTTATTCTTCTAACAAATAAATGTCTTGCCTGCTACAAAAACTTTAGATAAGCATACTTTCATTTAATGTTTTGAGATCATGTAGCCCAATCCCCTTATTTTTATAGATGAGGAAACTGAGGCCTAGAGGTGAAATGGCTTTTCCAAGTAGTGAGCAGTACAGTTGGTCATCCAACCAACTTTGGTTTGATGAAACAGTTGGTCTTTCATTTTAATGTATCGATTGGATTTGATCACAGTGCCTTCTATAATTCTGCATGCAGGGCAACCTTGAAAAAATATGCCGCACTCTGGAAGATCAACTTAGTGAACTTAAATCAAAGGAGGAGGAGCAGCAGCGCCTGATCAATGATCTGACTGCCCAGAGAGCGCGCTTACAGACTGAGTCCGGTAAGTCATTTACTGGTGCCCATCTTGGACTATTTGTTCCAAATTGTTTTAAAAGTTTGGTGCATTAAATCAATTGAATAAGTATTCACTAGCAGCTACTATGGACAATACACATGGTGCTAGGAACTGGGGATAAACAGATGAAACAAGGAGCTTATAATCTAGTAGAGGGAGGTGGGGGAGGAAAGCAAAGTCTATGATAAGTGACTAAGCTAAGTGGTATGAAAAAGAAAGATGACATACCTTAGAAGGATCAAATTTTATTAATAAAAACCCTTACATATTTTTTCACAAGAACTGTCTTCTCGCTGTGCCTTCCCCATCTTTTACTTGGGTAGCTGATTTTTTGAACCCAAGTACAGGACTTTACATTTATTCCTATACAATTTCATCTTTTAGATAGCCAACCATTCTAGCCCATTGAGATCTTTTGAGATTCTGACTCTGAGCAATATTTGGGCAACTATTCTTCCCATCTGTGTGTTATCTGCAAATTTGATAAACATTCTCTTTATCCAAGTCACAAAGTCATAAATTAAAAAAAAAAAAAAAAAACAAGGCCGAGTACAGAGTCCTGTGACTCACTAGAAACTTCTCTTTAAGATATCATTAAACAAATGACTACTCTTTGGTCATTCAGATCTCTATCCATCTAATTGCACTCTCATCTTGCCCACATCATGTTCATAAGCACGGCATAAAAGATTTGCCAAAAAGCAAGTAGGATTAGTCTTATATGACCTATATTCTTGATGAAACCATGCTTTATGATCATTATTTCCTTTTCTTCACTGATCAGAATTTTGGTAGAAACCAAAGTCAAGTCCAATATCCTACAGATGTAGACTCCATTATTTTCCTATTTTTGGAAAATTGGGACAACAGTTGATCCAATCCAGTAACCCTTGAGATAGGTGATGGCAATATAAATGCCAAAACTTAAACAATCCCTATCTCAGAGAGCTTATGTTCTTAAATGTGGTCTTTAGAAGACTGGTGAACCCAAGTTAAGCAGATTTTGGTTTTATTCTTTCTTTACCAATTATTCACATAACTTCCTATCAAAAAACAGATGATATTAGTGGCATGTGGACTAAAAAGTCTCGAAGCCCAGTAGTGGTTTATAGGCCAGAGTTTGAGAACCACTGTACTAGATCATACTTCATTGCACAGGATCCCATGATTCAGAGCTGGCAGACAACTTGAAATAATTTAGCACAAATTTCTCATTTTACAAAAAAAGAAAACATAGTCCTAATGAGGTAAAAGTGCACAGGTGGTAAATACTAAGATTTGAACCCACATTTTACTAATTCCAAATTCCATGTTCTTTTTACTATATCACTACTATCTCCTAATAGAAAGAAATTCAATGAAAAATGTTCCCTTTTAAAATGTTTTGTGGGTAGTCAGTGTAAAAATAGTCTTGTGAAAAAACAGTCATGTGCCCCCAAAAAGGTGAATGACACTGGCACAGTGGTTTGAACATAGTAGAGACTTGATGAGGTATTTACTCCTAAATCCACATCTACCTCCATTAATTTGATATTCATAAATCTCTGTAGACCATTTTGCTCATTCAAAAAAAAAAGTCATTAAAAGATGTTTTTATTCTGATACATGTTTTTAAATTTAAAATGTAAATATTTCCAGGCTGTTTAAGTTGTTCCCTTTCCTTCTCCCCTCCCTCATAGGTGAATTTTCTCGTCAGCTTGATGAAAAAGACTCTTTAGTTTCTCAGCTGTCAAGAGGCAAACAAGCATTTACTCAACAAATTGAGGAACTGAAGAGGCAACTTGAAGAGGAGATAAAGGTAGTCTTCAGTGATTCCCTTAGCCTAAATATAGAGATTTTCTTTATTGATGAGGAATCAGTAATCTTGGTTCAAATGCCCAATAAGCAAATATAATAATGACATTAAATTCACTGTTTCCACAGGCCAAGAATGCTCTGGCCCATGCCCTACAGTCATCCCGCCATGACTGTGACTTATTACGGGAACAATATGAGGAGGAACAGGAAGCCAAGGCGGAGCTACAGAGGGCAATGTCCAAGGCCAACAGCGAGGTCGCCCAATGGAGGACCAAATATGAGACGGATGCCATTCAGCGTACAGAAGAACTGGAAGAGGCCAAGTATGCTTGCTATAATTAGTGGGAAGGAGAATATGTTAATAAATAATGAAGATAATTATCTAAATAACCTAATCCAGTTTGTGGATCAGGAGAATGGCCTTCCACAGATTGCCTGGCTTCCCTGGACAGAACAGAGTGGCCATTTTACACTAGCACAGAGCTGTAACTAACAATTTTGACATTTAGGTCAAGCCACATGGAACACATTCCCAAGTCAACTTTGTAATTCATAATATGAAAATAATACAAGTAGTAAATAGTGCAAATTCAGTTTCTCTAGAGTGGGAATTCTGAGTATTAGAGTATTGGGAGGGGGATTAATATAGTCTGTTAGGTGGATGTTATTAATTAGTCCCATCTGATAGCTTCCCAATTTATTCTTACTAAGTATTTCTACTTTACTGAATGAGTGAGCTGTCAACACATAGATGGAAGTAATTCATGAAATGAAAAATGATTATTCTTTTATTTTTCTTCATTTCTTCTTTTATTTCTTCAAATCATTTTCACAAATCTATCCTAATTTGTAAAAACTATTCTTGCAACTAAATGCATGACCACTCCTACCAACTCTAAGTTAGGTAGTCAAGTATAGTACTTGTGAGACAGAAGAGAGAGAGAGAGAGAGACTTCATAATTCCACAGTGCTCCAAAACACATAGCTCTGCTTATGGTCACTAATCAGAACTGCAAACTTCTCTTTCAAGGAAGAAGCTGGCCCAGCGTCTACAGGATGCTGAGGAACACGTAGAAGCTGTGAATGCCAAATGTGCTTCCCTTGAAAAGACCAAGCAACGGCTGCAGAATGAAGTGGAGGATCTCATGATTGATGTAGAGAGGACAAATGCAGCCTGTGCAGCCCTGGATAAAAAGCAAAGAAATTTTGATAAGGTATTTCACACTAAGTTTTGTGTTTTATATAGTCAATTCCCTATTATCAGCATCAGGATTATTTGTTTGGGTTCCAGAAGTGTGCTGGAATGGGCACCTATGCGTTCTCGAGCTATTATTGCTAAATTTTCAGTGGAATCATTTATACCTTGGAAATCTGCAAACCTATGAATCAAGGCTTTTATATTGCAAGAGAAAGTGATGGAGAGAATGTTAATAATGCAGGTTAAACTTTAAAGTTTGTTATGTGTGCTCCCTCCCCATCCCCCCCAGCACTAGTTCTTAAGCATTTACCATCACACACCTGTATATATATGTATGTGCATATGATCCCTAATAGAGGTGGTTCATGTCTACAGAGCTATATGAATCTGGGCCATATGCTGCCAGAATGCCTGGATGGTAGGTCATGCTGCTCTCCCTGTGTTTAGATTATATCATATAAGAGATGTGTGAGGGACAGATGAGATTGATAACAACAAGTGAAATAGCTGTGAGAAGTCCTAAAATTATGTATTACTCCAAATAATTTAAAGGGGATATCTGTGGATTTCTATTATCTAATCTTGTTTACTACACATATCCTTCCAAGTCAACTAGAGTTGATTATATACATGAACTCAGTTCTTCTAACTTCCTCCATTGAATAGGTTGATAAATATATATTCTTCTTCAGGTCTTGTCAGAATGGAAACAGAAATATGAGGAAACTCATGCTGAGTTAGAAGCTTCTCAGAAGGAGTCTCGCTCCCTTAGCACAGAGCTGTTCAAGATTAAAAATGCCTATGAGGAATCACTGGATCACCTGGAAACCCTGAGGCGAGAGAACAAGAACTTGCAACGTGAGTCCCCTTCACTTGCTTGATGAACAGTGACTTGGAAGACCCTTACATTTTTCCATCTGTCTCACTCAATCTCTACCTACCTGTCCACCCATAGAGGAGATTTCTGACCTGACTGAGCAGATCGCTGAGGGAGGCAAACGTATCCATGAGCTGGAGAAAGTAAAGAAACAAATTGAGCAAGAAAAGAGCGAACTTCAGGCTGCTTTGGAAGAAGCTGAGGTATATGCAGATTGTAGACTAGTACATTCAGAAAGGAGTTAGGTTTGATTCTGGGTAGTTATAGAATGACCTAAAGAAAGATACAGAATAAATATGTGGAGAATAGTGGTGCCTTGGGGGCTCAGAATTCTTTCATTCTCTTACTCGCTTGATTGTTGACTTTCATTAAGGCATCTCTTGAACATGAAGAGGGGAAAATCCTGCGCATCCAACTTGAGTTGAATCAAGTTAAGTCTGAAATTGACAGGAAAATCGCTGAAAAAGATGAAGAAATTGATCAACTGAGAAGAAACCACGTCCGTGTTGTGGAGTCGATGCAGAGCACACTAGATGCTGAGATCAGAAGCAGGAATGATGCTATAAGGTTAAAGAAGAAGATGGAGGGAGATCTGAATGAAATGGAAATCCAGCTGAATCATGCCAACAGAATGGCTGCAGAGGCCCTAAGGAACTACAGAAATACCCAAGGAATACTTAAGGTAAATGGAGCTGTCCCTGAATGGCTGGGTTTAGCTGAGCCCTGAGAACGTGCTGTATAACAGTCTTTGTTTTGTGCCCAGGACACCCAGATCCACCTGGATGACGCTCTCCGAGGCCAGGAGGACCTGAAAGAGCAGCTGGCCATGGTGGAGCGCAGAGCCAACCTATTGCAGGCTGAGATTGAGGAGCTGCGGGCAACTCTGGAACAGACTGAGAGGAGCAGGAAGATAGCAGAACAAGAGCTTCTGGATGCCAGTGAGCGTGTGCAACTCCTACACACCCAGGTGAGCACAATTACAGCAAAGTCTCTATTGAGATCTATCCACTGGAAGGTTAAATATGAAGTTGAAACTTAAATACTTTGACTACATAACAAGAAGACAAGAGGCATTGGAAAAAGATCCTGATATTGGGAAAGACTGAAGACAAAAGGAAAAGGGGATGGCAGAGGATGAGATGGATAGTGTCATGGCAGTAAAGAATATGAACTTGGACAGACTTCAGGAGATAGTGAAGGATAGAAGGAGCTGGCATGCTATGTTCCATAGGATCACAAAGAGGCAGACACAACTGAATGACTGAACAACAACAATAATCTATTGGAAGAATAGAAAAAAAGGAAAAATTCTAATTAGATCCTGCTCACACATATCTAGATACTTGTCAGAACTCTTTTATGGAGTTTCTATGGGGCAAAAAGTTTAATTTTTTTTAGATTTTTAGATTATCAGTTGATGGACATCTCCACCTATTTCCTTCAAATACCTGAAACTCAACAGGTTCAAAATTAAATTTTTGTCACCTACATCTATATATTCTGATTTTCTCATTTCTTTAATGTTTCTACCATCTTTCCAGTCATTTTTTAGTCTTTCCTCTGCCTTATACTTTAAAAGTTTTACTCATCTTTCAAGGCCTACTGTTTCCTGTTTCCTTTAACAGAATGTAATTCTTTCTTCCTTTCTACCCATATAGTATTTTATACATCCTTTATTTCACTTATACTTATTTAGCTTTGTATCATCATGCTCTACTGGAATATAAATTTCATGGTGAGGGGACCTATCCTTGCAACTTACCTCGGTGGCCTGCTATTGTGCTTTGCATAAAGCAACCACTCCAGAAATACTTAATGAATTGCATTGAATCCCTACTAGGAGTGCCTCTATGTATCCAACTTTAATGATCAATAACTGACTTTATAAAGCATTTTAAGCATTGTAATTATAGTCTCTGAGAGGCAGCATAGCATAGAGATAGATGGCCAGTCTTGGAGTCAGGAAGACCTTACTTTGACACTCAGTGGCTGTGTGACTCTGGGCAAGGCACTTAACCTTCTCAGTATCCCCAGGCAACCCTACAACACTATATGCTACAGCTGATTTTCTAATATGGAGGTATGGATGTAGGGAGTTTCCTCTTGAAGTTCTTCCCACTGATGAAGTCACAGGTCTACCTAATCCTCCCTCACCTCTTCCCAAAGATTATGATCTCCAGTAGTTTTTGGGAAAGAAGAAAAATGACAATTTTTTTTTTTGCTTTTGTTTTTGTTTTGTTTTACCCAGAACACCAGCTTGATCAACACCAAGAAGAAGCTGGAAACAGACATTTCCCAAATCCAGGGTGAGATGGAAGACACGGTTCAGGAAGCCCGAAATGCAGAAGAGAAGGCCAAGAAGGCTATCACTGATGTGAGCAGAAAACACATTGATTTCCCTCCTTGATCTACTTATACGACTACTTGACATTTATAGTTGCCTCGGTCTATTTGCTAACCAGGCAGCCATGATGGCTGAGGAGCTGAAAAAGGAGCAGGACACCAGTGCCCACCTGGAGCGGATGAAGAAGAACCTGGAGCAGACCGTGAAGGACTTGCAGCTCCGCCTGGATGAGGCCGAGCAGCTGGCCCTGAAAGGAGGAAAGAAGCAGATCCAGAAACTGGAGGCCAGAGTACGTATTCCTGATGTCTGCAATTTTTGTGCTATTTCAATCACAGCAAAAGTTTTTTTTTTTAAACAAACCCCTAAAACAAAACAAAATGAAACAAAGAGTAGCTGGCAGTAGTTTCACGCTGAGCCAAGATCCTCTCCTTTCTCAGGTGCGTGAGCTTGAAGGGGAGGTTGAAAGTGAGCAGAAACACAATGTTGAAACTGTGAAGAGTCTGCGCAAACATGAGAGGAGAGTGAAGGAGCTCACTTACCAGGTAAGGGGAAGAGACTTTCTGGGTTCTGCCACAATCTACAGTGGAATTACAAATATTTCTACTTGTAAATATAATAAATATTTGATTCTCAAATAACCCACTTATTTACAAAATCTTTCAGACTGAAGAAGATCGTAAGAACGTTCTCAGGCTTCAGGACCTGGTGGACAAACTGCAGTCTAAAGTGAAAGCATATAAGAGACAAGCAGAGGAAGCTGTGAGTACAGATTTGCTCAAAATAATGATGTCTTTTATTTGTACAGCTCTAAGTTTTTAGGGTTTTATACGAGGCATCTTATTTAAAGCCTCACAATAACCTTGTGAAGGAGGTACAGATATCCCCATTTTATGGATGAGAACAATGCAGCACAAAGAATGTCAGTGACTTGCCCAAAGTCACCCATCTACTACTAGGTGGAAGGGCCAGGACTTTTAACACTAAATTCAATACTGATTTAGTGATCAATACTGATTCAATGATACCACACTGCTTTTCAGATTGAAGATGTGCTCAAAGCTCGCTGTTCACCTCTGTTTCCAGGATCAGTTCAGTTCCAGAGCTAAGTAGAAAGAAGAAAGAAATAAACAAAGGGGGCCAAGGAAGGAAGGGAAAGAAATAGAAAATGGAGGGGGAGAGATTATTACCAGCAGAGCAGTAACATCAAAAAGCCTTTTTCAGGAGTGACAGGAGCAGGTTAAGTGATTCAATCTCTGGCTGAGCACTTATATCCTGAAAGTTTCCACTCAGGAATAGTACAGATTAACCCTATTTACAGATATCACAAATGAATTTCTCTACTTGCCTTATTTTGTTTTCTGAACTCATATTACCTTATCACAGTTTTAGGAAATCCACATAAAAATTTTCCATTTGAGGATAACTATGGATGATGGCCTAGGCATAGGCCAATCAATAGGCCTATGTTCATTTTTTGTTTGTATCTCCAGTCACTCTAGAACAGTGACTGTCTTGCACATAGTAAATGTTTGTTAAATTAAACTGTTGAATTCACAAATGTAGAATGTAGATAGTGTAAGGTGGTAGTAATGTACAATCAAGACTTAAATGATGTAGGAAAGATCAGATCACATAGCTGGTAAGCATTTTTATTTTGTTTTCTTTGCCTGGTTCCCATTTTGCATTTCATAAAAATAAACTTAGGAACTTGGAATTATTTATTTGGGTGTCAAATTTACATCCTGTTAAATTTTTCCTTTAATTATAATTGCCAATTAGTGGTTTAAAAATCCAATAAGGTCATAGATGGAGAACTGAAGGTACCTTAAAGGTCAACTAGTCTCATTTTATAAATAAGATTCCAATAGGCAACAAGGTGGCACAATGGATAGAGTGCTGGATCTGGAGTTAGGATAGGCCTGAGTCCCATGACCCTGAGCAAGTGACTTAACCTCTGTCTGCCTCAATTTTTCAATCAATAAAATGAAGGTAATAATAGCATCTATCTCTTAGAGTCATGAAGATAAAATGAGAAATGTATAAAAGCACTTTGTAAACCTTAAAATGCTACATAAACACTAAGTTATTATTATTGTTGTTGTTATTATTATTTTAAATGACTTCTAAGGACACAAGGATTAGTGTCCAAAGTGGGCTTTGAACCCTGGTCCTCTGACCAGTGCTCTTTCCATTATTATATGTTGAAAAACATCAAGGAAATTAATCCTAACATTTTAAAGATGATTTCTATAGGAGTCTTGATGGTTCTAAAATGTAAAACCTAAAAATAAAATAAACTGAGAGGTTCAGGTCTTATCTGATTTTGGATTCAAGACAAATCAAAGAATCAAAAGTTCTAGAGACAAAAGTTACCTTAGATCAGGGGTGGGGAACCTTCGGTCACGTGACCACGAGGCCGCAGGTTCCCCACCCGTCTCTTAGATACTATCTAATCCAATCCCCTCATTTTATGGTTTCAAAATCCAAGGTCCAGAGGAGTTCAATGATTTCCTCATGGTCATGTGAATTATAAGTTGCAGAGCTAAATATGAATCCACATCTTCAGGTTTCAAATCAGAGTCTTTCATTCTCTCACAATTCATTTCCATTCTCAGGAGGAACAGTCTAACGTCAACCTCTCCAAATTCCGCAAGATCCAGCATGAGCTAGAGGAAGCTGAGGAACGGGCTGACATTGCTGAGTCCCAGGTCAACAAGCTCCGGGTGAAAAGTAGGGAGGTCCATACAAAGATTATAAGTGAGGAATAATCCTGAAACTTCTGGGTGACTGAAGAAACACAGAATGTGAAAATCTTTGTCACTCTGTTTTGTACCTGTTATTCTAGAAGATAAAGACTCTAGGGAAACTGCAAAGAACTCCCTTGTCTGTCTTTTTCTTTTACCCTACCTATTATTATGTAAGTTATTATGTACTTTGAGAAAGAGCTAGGAATGTCTTACACAAAATTCACAATGTTCATAGTCTTAGTCACTTAGGAATCAATAAAGAGTAGTTGGACTCCTAGGCACAATCTGCAGAGGGTGTAAGTATGGGCCGGGGGGGGGGGGTGAAGGAGGAAGAGGAGGGTAGTTTGTTTTTCTGGCACATTTGTGTTTTCTATCTTCCTCTGTCCATTATGTCCTATATACTTCAGTGTCCTTATGTAAAGATTGCCCAGAACCTCAACATACCCCCATGACAGTCTTCCACAATCCTAAACTATCGTTCCTTGCATGCATAACAATGCCCACCTTGGTCCCCACTGCCTAGAAGACAAGTGTGTTACATTTCACCCCCCTCCCATGGTTCTCCAGCAGTCTTAAAGGGCTTAGAGATATCTAGTCTCTCTACCATTGGCTCTTGCCACTACAAATAGTGTTCTCCCAATTTTAAGGTGGAAGTCTTGCACCCCAGTTCCATTTAACCATTAAAAGTCAGATTAGGCTTCATAAAAGAATATTTGCTTCAAAAATATACCAAGAAGAAACTATAAATATTCCTACCTACCCACCATGTGGGTTCTTAATCCTCCTGTTCCCCCATACACATACAAACACTACCTCAGTCTCTGGGCAGGGAAGGCCAATTAGGTTCATGGTTTAATTCAGTTCCTATAAAGCCTAGTCCCAACAAGTTCTAAATCTAAAGCCACCCTTGGGCTTAAGTCCTGGATATTTTGACTTCCAAGGGCTTCCCTGCTATACTGGTTGCGAATCTGGATTGAAATCTTGCCTCTAAGGTCACTATGGTTTGAGAGGGCTGGGAACTCCACTGGTTACACCTAGAACTGAAAAGGACAAAGGAAATAGACTACATCAAAACCCCAAGTCTGATTCTCAAAAATACAGAGCCTAAATAAGAGAAGGAGGGAAGACAGTGAGGACACTCAGCTCAGTTCATGGTGCCCATGCTGTAGGTGAATAGAACTTTCACCCTTTGGATGGAGCCAGAAAGAGAGAGACTGTCTGAATCTGGTAGTTGTAAAGATATAGGTAATCTGTTCTGGTTATGCAGCCAGTGGAAAAAGATCACTCCCACCCACGTGATTGAGGAACATAGAATATCTTCTTCCAGAAGCAAGTCCTTGTCATCTCCAATTTGAGTGCATCCATGTTAGGTGATCTGGATACAACCTACTCAAACTCCCATTCCCTCTATACTTTAATCTTGACTAAAGAGTCAAGAGCAAAGTACCTGATAGTAGCAATTTGTACTGGAGTGTTAATGACTTATCTTAAACTTCCTGTGGGTATTTGTATTTTACTACATAGCTTAATTACCCAAACAAATTGATTGCTGATGGAAGACAATTTTTATCAGAGCAATATTGTAGAAAGAATCTCTTAAGATATCTCAAAATTGACCATCTTTTATGTGTACACATAAGGCCTATCATGCAGAACAGTAATTAGAACGGAAAAAACATTTTAGATACTTACTATGTACCAAGCATTAGGATAGCCAGCTAGGAATGAGAGAGCCTGGTGAGATCTTGATGGGGAGGTTTTGAGGTAGGGCTGTTTGTGTAATAGGCTCTGAACTCCATCGCCTTGTGGTGGTCTTAAGTTATTAAGTTTGGTTCAGCCTACTCTTTCCAGAAGAGCACAGTTTATACTTAATTCATGAAGGGGAGTCTGTAGACATAGAAAGGCTAGCTGCTGTGGGCTTACCTACCTTTATAAAACATAGAAAAGTTGGTCACAAAATTAATTTCTGGTCAAAGAATTATATTTTCCTATTGACTTTTACTATAGAATTGGAGATATCCTTCCTATAAGAAAACCTTTCTCCCCAAGACTAAATAAAAATCGGTTAACCTCTGGAAACCATATATACAAAATAAAAACCATTTTCCAGTAAAACATTATTTATAAGATTCAAAATACAAATTCTGCCCCAAGACCACAAGTACTATATGTGACACTACATTCTCTTGGAATCTGATCTCCATTGAAAGAGATGTACCCTCTGAGTATGTGAATATGTTTAGCTCTTTGTTCCCTGATGGATCTCAAATGATGGTTTGACTTAATTCAGTTCTATAGCACTTAACAAGTGCAAGCTGTTTGCAAAGCACCATTCTAGGCACTAGGGATGCAAAGACTATGAACCAAACCAGAACTTGCCTTGGAAAATTGACATTCTAATTTATGATTTGGATTTCTACACAGTAGCTTTCTTGTCATTGCCATAGGTTCACAAAATCCTGTATCTTGTGAATGGCCCCTTATCTCCTAACAAATAAGAGTATATGAAGGTGACCTATGACCCTATAATATCCATGGTATCATCTAGCTCCAACTCTTAGACTTGCCATTGTTAACAGATAATAATGACAAGACAGAGCCTTCCAGAAGTTGATTGGGTATGCTGGATGATTAAACTGCCAAAGCAGCTAGAACTCTTTGCTTCTTCCTTTTCTACTAATGGGAACTTAGCTCAAAACTTTATCTCCAGTTATCATCCAGGAGATGATTACTTGTTTCCTTCCAGAAACAGGAGGAGGAGAGAGAGAGAGGAGGAAAGACAAACTCATTGCTCCTCTCAGGCTACTCATCAAAAGTGGCCAGTATCTACCTGTTCCTTATTATCTCTTTGGATTCTTATACCCTTACATTTGTATGGCTTAAAAATGGATGGTTGAGGTGGAGGCTACATATCCCGGAGTTCAATGCTCTCTCCTCCCATCTGCTGCCATTGGCGCTACAATAGTGCCATGGTCATCAAATTCCCCATGGCTGTGGGCCTGCACAAGGACTGCAAAGTTAACAAAAATGTTTCAAAGCCACAACACTGTTTGCCATTGTGGGCACTTAACCAAACACACCAAGTTTGTGAGTTATGATCTGGGAAGTGTGTGGATTTGCCCCTTATGAGAGGTGGGCCATGGAATTGTTAAAGGTCTCCAAGGATAAGCAAGCCCTTAAATTCATTAAAAAAAATGTAGGAACTTACATCCTGGCCAAGAGGAAGAGAGAGGAGCTCAGCAATATCCTAGCTGCCATGAAGAAGGCTACTACCAAGAAGGACTAAACTGGACTCTGCCAGCCTTCCCAACTTACCCAATAAGAATTTGACAAACTAAAAAAAGACTTGATGGTTGCTTGAATCCACCTGGGCTAATGTGTTTTATTTTCTGGGGTGTGGGGTAGTGGAGGGAAGAAGTTTTGTCCTCACAGAAATGGTAGAGATGGTCCTCTGGATGCCCAAAGGAGAGAAGTGTATGTATTAATATCATCCCTGGACCCATTTAGAGAAATATCTTTAAGCAAACATGAGATAAAACCCAAAGCTAGGTAAAGGTTAGGGAAGTTGTAATTGAAGCTTATAGGGTTTCTGCCATTTTGGCCTGATGCATCATTTCTGCAGCTGTTGATTGGGCACTGAGGGTGCTTGGCTGTGGCACTCTAAGTCCATGTCATGCCTTCTGCTTTGCCCCTGGTATTGGAAAAATTACTGCCACTAACCTAGTTTCAAACCAGAGAATGTGTGTGTGTGTGTGTGTGTGTGTGTGTGTATCCGTTCCATAAAGACATTTGATAAAGTTTCTAATGATACATTTTTCTCTAAGACAGATAAATGTGGTCTAGTTTGGCATTCTGGTTCTGCTACTTACTGTGTTATGTTGGGCAAAATATGTCTCTCTCTGGTCCTTAGTTTTCCCATGTGCAAAATGAGGGGATTGCATATATGTATATATAAAGATAGAGATACATACATGCATATTATAAAGATATATACATACATATCTATACACATGTATTATTATCATTAATTATATTATTATTATTCCTAGTGCTATAATCATTACAAATGAGCCTATTACCTGTAGGAGCTCTTTATATTAGAAAAGAAGTAGTAATAAACCATATAGTCTCAAATATCTATCAAAAATACACAAAATCTGTGTTACAAATTATAGGAACTAAGGAACATAAGGCAAGAGGGTATCATTTGGATTTAAGGGGATGGGACTTACGATTAAATAGGCTTATGGAAAGGTATGCCTTACTCAAAAGGAAGTGGATGGTAAAAAGGAAGAGGAATAAATATCAGTGTATATAAAGAAGATATAGCTAGATGAGGAAATGTTCCAAATTGGTAAGGCCTGCTAGAGCTTGTACTCTGCTGGAACCTCAAGAACCCAAGGTCACCTCTATGCCACAATGAAGCATCATTATAGAATTAATCTTTATAATTCCATTGAAAAAGAAAATATGATAAGTTTGGTATTACTTGTTTTTAAACTTTCCCTGTAGGATTTTAGGCCATAGGATCTTACCTACTCATTATCTGAACCCATACTTAATGTATTTCTTTGAAATACATTCTATTCATAGCTAAATTGCGTGCCAAATTATCTCTGGCTTTCTTCTCATCCGTCATAAATTTTGTGATAGAGTGGTCACTTTCCCCTAAGAAAAAATTTAGCCAACAGTTCCTCTTTGTTTATGAAAGTCAAGACCAGGATAGAAACTCTCTCTTTTGTTTATTCTACCTTTTGAAACATGAAAGTATAATTTAAACAGGGCAAGAAACTGTAAGTTGTTATTTTGGCAAAGAGAGAGATCTAGCTGATGTTTAGATACTTGAAATATACTTAAAGCTAGATTCTTGAAGTCTCCTGTCATTACTGTATCATGCTTCCTCGTCAGATTAGTGATCTCTTTTCTCTGCTTCTCATCCATTTTCCACTTTCAGTTCAAATGGTCTTTAGTACACTACTTAGCACACTGTTGAGTGTGTCTATCATATAAGGATGAATGTAGTCAAATTTGAATTGGTTCACTAACAAGTTTGCCATGGAGTGATGATTTTTTTCAGTCACAGCAAGTATCAAATACTATTTATA